TTAAAATTCATTTAATTAAAATAACTATTCCCTTAACGCATGTTTTCAAATGTAGGTAGGTATGTTAATGTCTTAAACCATAAATATTAATGATAATGCACAGAACGTATATGGGTATGGGATAAATCCCTAATACCATTCCTTAAGCCTAAACTTTAACAAAACAATATTGTTAAAACTAATGATCAGAATTTAACGATATTTAGCTCATTAGCTTCGTCTTGATGAGAATATTAATATGACTTATGTAAGTGGGATATTGAATTGATCATGAGATACTTAAAAATATAATATAAATTAATGAGATTTGGGAGATATAGGATTTTAAAAATAGTATGGGTGCGGTGGAGTACCAAGTATGCGTTAGACTTAACCAATGTTTATTAACTAATATGCATTCAATTAATACAAGAGAGCCCGCGAAGAATACCAAAAGATAGTTGCAACAACGGTCGTCGACTCTTTAATGTAGTAGCAAGAGCGATATCTATTTATCATTATTTAGTGTGGAAAGTAAAGAAATTTGTTGTGGTGCCAAAAAACTTGTAATGCAAGGAATTTTTTTAATTTTTTTCTCTTACACAATCAAATGATTGGGATTCTATTATGATATTTGATTCTCGTTAAACAGAAATCTAATCTTTCAAATAGATTTTTTATAAGCGCCAGAATGCGTTAATAATAAAATTATCGCGAGTTACTAGGCATCATTCAATATTGAAATTCGATAAATTTTTTAAAGGGGTTTTAGCTTTTGGGAGAATATTAAAGTTTGGTGTGGGTAAAGAAGGAGACTCCAACGAAAGCAGGTGCGCGAAATCATGGTATTTATAAATTATCACGAACAATTATTGAGCAAATGAAAGTAAATCACTGCGTTATCTCCGGGTAAAGTATCACGTGCAATGCATCTTTAACGCACCAAATTTTCAACTTTCAAAATAACGCATGTAGGGGCAATCTTATTTAAATGTCGGTATTTCGCTGAATGTCGAGATTTTCTTTACAACTCAAAGATTGTGTGACGTGAGAGAATCATTTTAAATTTTTCGATGGAAACACATTTTCGGACATAACCTTAATCATTACAACCGCTTCCTTTTAACCGTAAGTGACAAGTTTTATAATTTGCATTTTTTTTAAAAAAAAATGACATCACGTGATAAAATTTCCTTACTAATACGCCCCAGTACTTCTTCTTATCGAGATCACATCTAATTATGTAAAATATGTATCATTTAGCCCAGTCAAAATTTTTTCCGACCGATCGTCGATTACATGATTCATAATTCATGTTGACCTTTAAAATTATCGCAAGCCGTTAGTGTGTAGTGAAAAAGGTCTGGAGAAGAGGCAGGTAGATAGTCGTGTAGTAATTGTTAGAATTTAATCAATTGATCTATTCGAATTTATTCTTTACTTTTGTAAAAAAATTGCAACGAGGGTGTAGTATGTACTATGAGTAAGAATTATATCAGAATCCTTGCATTTATGAATTTCATGAGGCGATAAACGCGTATTTTAAAATTAGAAGAGAATATGTATACCCGGGTATTATAGATCAATCCAATATTTTTAAAATTTTTTAATTACTAAAAAAAAACTCATATTTGTAAACGTTGAATATATTATTTTAAATTTTGAATTCTGTTGATAATATCTTTATTTGGTTTTTGTTGACTTTTTTTTTAAAAAAAAAAAAGAAATCTGTATACCAGTATATATATAATATCTATTTTTGCTAATCATTTTCTAATTGGTCGCATATCACTTATCTAGATAATATAATATATAGTACATAATCGATAAAGAATTTAAAAATTATTAGTACCAATGCCAATGTTAGTTAATGATAACGCCATGAACTAGCCATAAAAATAAACATTTTAATAGTAATACCTTCTCAACCACTCCATTCATTTAATCAACAGTTGAATATCGTACCGCATATTGTTTGTACATTTTATTTGCATGATTATTTTGAAGAAACGGTCGGTCTTACGATAATGGAAAAAAAAAAATTTTTTTTTTTATTTAAAAAAAAAAATTAATGTGATATGTATGATACAAGGATTGTAAATCACAATACCCTCAACGAATTATATTGCAAATTTTTTAAAAAAACGGTCCCCATTGTTTTAAAAATATGCAAGTAAGTTTCGCCCGCATTTTAGTTGACATTAGTAATCACCCCATATCTAGCGAAAATCGGGAATAAATATTTATAGAAATCAGGTACGCGATTTAGATTTCGTGTTTTCTAGGTGTAATGAATTTCGACGTTACACTAGATTAATAATGGCAAATAATTTTGAAGATTATGTTGTTACTTTATTACGTTGAGCACGTAACCCCCCACAATTATTAAAGAACTTAATGAACAACAAAGAATTAATGCATTAATAAATTTAAATGTAACCTAAACTTAGCCAAAACATTCTTTTTTGCTTAAAGTGTTTTTTTCAAAGGGTGTAACTTTCTATTGTACTTTCTTAAATAATCGCTATTACAAGAAAAATAACGGGTTCTCGATCCGAGAACATTTTGTTTAGATGAAACGACTTTAATTTAATTGAAAGATTATCTTTAATCAGTATCCTTTATACTCTTAGATTATATAGTGTGACATCATTTCTTAAAAAAGGCTTAAAAGACTTAAAAGAAACATTTTCATTTATTATTAATGTAAAAAAAAAAAAATATCCAAAAAAGATACGTGTGACGTTTATCAATTTATGTTTAAAAGTTCCGTTTAGAGTTTAGATTTATGGGGTATTTATTGCACAATGAGGTAAATATTAATCCAAGACGAATATGCTAACTTCATTGCCAAGCCTTGTTTTATGTAAGCTAATTGTTTACGAAAAACTCATTTTTGCGATAATCTTATCAGAGGTGCCTATCTATTTTTCTTTTTCTTTTTAAAAAAAAAATAATATATATATTCAACTTGTTGCCAAATTTTCAATTTAAGGTTCCTCAATATTGGATAACAACCGATCTTACCATTTACAATGTAATTAGCCAAGCCATAATACCATACTTATTCAAAGAAAGAAACTATTTCATAAATAAATTTTACAGGCAACAACTTAAGCATATATCGGTTGTAGTCATTTGGTAAGATGCATGCTGTTGATTCTATACCGAAAAGCACATGTTTACATCATCGTTAATCGTTACATTCTCCCTGAAAGCTCATATTTGTATTTATTGTGTTGCTTAAGTAAAAAAATAATAAATGAAATTTACAAATCAAGGTCTCAATAAACATCTTTTCATATTAAATTTCGGTTGATCATTAGATTAAATTCGGCTGAAAATTTATTTGAACACAAATTAGGTATTTTAAATGTCGGCCTAAATTACACGGTAATTCTGGTCAATTAACTCAATAAATCAATTACTTGGTACAATAATGAAATTTTGAGGTTCCTGATTCACTATTTATATCTTGTGGTCAATTCATATAATTTTCTTTTCTAGCACTTGTATTTTATTGTTTATACTTGAATTTAATTGGCACAGAAACAAATTAATCATATCGGCCTTGAAAATCACATGATTTATTCTATAAATGTTCGATTAATTGACGCGTTAATACTATAATTAATTCCATCACCTTTTTTTTAAAAAAATTTGCAAACCACTTTCTTTTTTTTTATCAACACCAAGTTTGTATTAACCGGGATTTCGAGAAGAAAAGTCCTTTTTTCTCCTAATGAAAACGTTCCTTTTGTAAAACAAATAGTAGGACAGAAGAGAAATATATTTAGTCCAAGGAGTGGAATACTGTGAGTATGGTTTACTAGTGGGCATACATAATAGTATTATTAGGTTTTAGCCTTCTATCACATGACTGTACTCACTTCATTTGACCATGTATCACTCAGTTTTTTCTGGAGATTTTAACCCACGTTCAACGTTCTTGGTGAAGAGATATGTTTTTACATATATTTTTAGCAAGCCCTTGGATTTGACCTTTGTGTGAGTAAGTAAAGGATCTTAGTGCCTTGAAATGTTGCAGTCGACGCTTAATATAAAACTCGAGTTCAGGGTTCTTTTGAGGTTGACGAACTTTGCTAACGCTATTTTCCATTTAAGTTCTTTTTTTTTTTTTTGGAGATTTTAAACTAACGCTCAACGCCCTCGGTGAAGAGACACTTTCAAAAAATTCAATTTTACTAAGTAAATTAATGCTAATCACGAAATGCTAATTAATTAAAAAGAAAAAAATAAATTATCGGAAATAAAAAATAATAATGAAAAAATAATCAAATAATGAGAATGACGATATCGCTGACAAGGACAGTTTGACAACCAGGCACCTAAAATTCTCGTGAACAATTTCCGGGTCATTGTAACCCTACACAGCGTAAATAGATGAAAATGTAGTCTTGCTTATGTTATTAAACAATAATAGATATTTTTCCTTTCCTGTCTTTTTGTTGGTTTTAATTTCAACTCAAAAATATAATCCGATACTTCGTTATAAACTTCTTAAACCTAAATAGTATTTACAGCTCATGTATGAAGGTATTAAAGTTTTAGTAATTAAGCTATCATAGTCCGAGGAAATTTAAATTATGCCTAAAATTTTTGCAGATAAAGAACTGACGCGCTAATTACAGAAACTACTGCGACTTAAACCGGCTATTTCAAATAATCGCACCTTTCTAAAAAAAATTATTAACTTTATTTCAAAAACTTTATTAAAGTCGCGATTAAATAATGCACACCAATTTTCCCAATGCGTTTGACTCATTATTTAACTGTAAAGCGACATAAAAGTCATCAAAAATGATCATTATTTTGATATTATCAATATTTTTTCGTATAATCAACAGAAATAATTTTCGCCTCTTTGCTTTTTAATGTAAAATTCCATGAAATTCCATAATTCACTTTCCAGTAGAATCACAATAATTTGTACATGATTTTAAGTAAGTCGCGTAGAAAATTCCTTTCCAATATAGGGTACCTGTAATGTTTACGGGATTTGAAAGGAGCATTTATAATCCAAAGACTGAATGGCCTTGTTGTAATTCCACCAAAAGCGATACTTTCCGTAGTGTCATTATTTTTGCTGTAGTTGTGATATAGGTTCGTTCTGAACCAGACAATTTAGTAATAATTGGATGTAGATGAATTAGTAGAATTCTTAGGAATAGTTGTAGATGATTTAGATGTCTTTGAAGTGGACCTTGCTTGTTTTCAGACGTTCAATCAAGGAAAAGATCACATTTGCAAAAGTTTGCTTCTAATTAAACACAAAAAAAAAAAATATTAAACCTTTAATCTAATAATGTAATACAAAAATTTGAAGATATTCCATAATTAAAGTGCCCGTAAAATTCGTCAACACACTACCGGCTTGAAGCAACAGAAAATAAAAAAAAAATAAAAATAAAAATAAAAAGAATAAATTCTTGATGAAGCCACATTATTTAATTGCGCATGAAATACTACATTATTAAAATTTTTTTTTTTTGCAATATTACAAATAAAGTTAATGGTCAATTAATTGATCACAAAATTTTTAGTTTCGACTAAAAATTGTTAACTTCGATCAAATTTATCATGTTGATCGATGACTTGCATAAATTTTCAATTCATTTGAATCAATTATAAATTTTATTTTATAATATTTGACTTTCTTTTCAAAGTATTTTTTTTTTTTTACTTTGAATTCAGTGAATTTCCCAAATAGGTTGAATTTTTCCAATTAAAAAAATAATAATATATCATCCTCAACAAAAAAAACCACAAGAGCCACAATGGGCCTAAAGGATATTGAAGCATTTTTATATTAAAACCTATGGACGTGCTTATTGTCGATATAAATTATTAAAAAATAGATGTAAAAGAGTTTCAATTTATATTCGAAATGCAAATAAATTGTTTGATCGATCAAGACCTTTTGGCGGTCAAAATACAATAAATATAATTCAAGAATTCAAAGTAAATTTTTAAACTACGTAATTCTTTCATTAATTATTGCTTCCATAATAATTCAATTACTGGTTTTTCTGTTATATATAATAAAGTTCTATTTTAGCATTACTATTATAATAAGTGCATAATTTATTCTTTAATTCAAGAGTTTCTATGTCTAATTGATCTTTTCTATTATTTAATTAAATATTTGTCAACTTTAGGTAATAGTTAGTAAATTTAACTAAAAATTCTAAGAAATATCAATAAAATGATTTAC